GGAATGTATAGCCGCCAAAATAGCGGATATAAAAAAAGAAGATATCATACTGAAGTAACACATAAATCGACACACTAAATAAATTAAAATTATTCATCTGGAACTTTGTCGACTAGTACATTATTACGAAAAGGCAGTAACAACAACGACTCACAAACAACTTCATCAAAAAAAAACGTTACAGGATGAAACAGTTGATGGAACGAAGAGATCGACATGAACTAAACTCGCGTTTCTCATTGCCTACTCTTTTTCTTCTCATCGTTTGACTTCACGGCAAAGAAGGTTTCCTTATCAGCTGGTTCGATGTTATTTTCAGTGGCAAACTGAACCAAACATCGTTTCATTGCATAACGCGTCTTCACCGTCTGCGTAGTACCTTTAATAAGTATCATCTAACTTCTCAAAATATTACGAAAAACCAGCTAAAGTGCGACGAAAAGTTCAAAAGGACTTACTTCGGTTCCACTTCACTGGCTGTGAATTTCAAGGTGTTCTGATAAAGATTCAATGCAGCTCTGTTACTCACGCGCACATGTAATGAAACATATCGTGCATTGAACGTTTCTATCATTGCTCTGGCTGTCTGATCCATAAGTTTCTGAGCAAGACCTAAAAGGAGACTTGAAGGAAACGGAATGACAATGCAAATCAAGACATAATAAGAAAACACTATAATAGTATAAACGAAAAGTTAATACCAAGTCTTCTATATGATCGTTTAACAGCGAGCGAAGTGATGTGCCCATGTGGCTCCTCATCGGGATCTTCCTCCATTTTCGCTAGAACATATCCTACCACATTGCCCTACAAAACAAAAATAACATTCTTACATTTGCCTGACATTAGGGGGGGGGTCACTTAGATTGTGAAGGCCATTTTCGAAACATATTGTGGACGTTCATGCGGGAACAACTAAAGCGTAGTACGTTTCAGCTGTGCACTTCTGGGAAAGCCAAAGATATAACTAGGCTCTGAAAATTCGAATCTCCCTATGTGGCGAAGTTTTGCACGCCTGCAATTTTTATTTTTTTGGTGTTCCTATGAGTTGGAGCCTTCTGTCTGCACAATAAGGCGTTCAAAATTACAGAATTGAACGAACTTTTATCCAAAAAACAAAATAGTACCTATCGCCTGACTGCGAAACAAAGCCAAGAGGGTCTATAGGTATGAGAGCATAAAAAAGGAGATGAGTTTTTCAACAAAAACCCTATCCGGTGATTTACAAGCGAGAAATCTGCTCTACTAGAAAGATACGCTATACAAAGACACTATAAACATGCTATAGAAAAACGCTAGAAATTCATGAAAGGAAAGGTGGTTTTCCTTGACGGATACTTTCCAAAGCATCGGAGGTCCAACATTTTGCAGAGTGAACCCGAAAGAGGTTCTTAATCCGGTCGTAAAGTCACGCCCCGGGCTCAAAAATAAGAATTTGTGCTGCTCAAATACTAATGTCAGTCTGGTTCAGCATGGGGTTTTACAGAGCATTTCCGGCGGGTGTTTTTCCGCCTTTTTTCAACTACTGTGCTGAATACTAATGGCAGCGCAGTACAGAAGTTAAAAAAAAGCGGAAAACACCTGTTGGAAATGCCCTACAGAACCCCATGCTGAGCCAGACTTGCATGTGCATAAGACAAAGAAATGGCGTTGTCGAGGGAGTTTATTTATTTTTATTTAGTTCTAACTAGTCACTTTCAGCTGCTCCTTTTTACCACCTCACTCTCACTATTCCATATGGGGGGGGACTCAGTATCGGAACAACCGCACATCAGGTAACACTTATAAATGAAAGTTAGGCGTCGCTGTGGCCAGTGGGCGGAGCTTTGGTTCCGTCGCGAGCGGGTCGCGCCTTCCTCATGTGATCTGACCTGCAAAATTAGTGCATTCTCCATCTTTGCAGGGAGGGTTACCATATCCGAGAAAGCGCAAATCTAATGAAGCATGGTGCCATTAATGGGGAACTAACTGGCCAAAGCACAATACAATGTCGAGTTTTTTTTCACCAGTTTCTCAAGGATCACTCAAGACCGACACGTAAAAAACTGCAATAGTGGTACACATTATGATTGTATTCCTTAGTAAATTAAATATACAAAATAGATCTCACCTTATGATCCTCTGCCACATACGAGAGTTGTGGCCAGGACAACGCATGATAGAAATAATATTTCATCTGATAATTTTCTGGGAGGCATAAAAGATTTGCATGCTGCGTGTTTATCAAATCTTCCGGTCGAGCACAACGTATGTTCATCCCCAGTCTGGAAAAAGGATTTTCACT